TGATTTGGGTTTATTTGGACTCAAATCGAATCATTTTTTATATTGTTGGGTTCAACTCATTCTACTATAAGTGTTTTGAATTTAAAGTTTATATATATACACTGCATAAAAATTAATTAAACTCCATAATCTAACAATCCACCTTATAAATATGGGTCAAACTATGATTCATAATAAAATATATAGGGGTGTATATTCTATCGATTTGTATGGATTGGTTGATAGATTTGTTAATTCGAGTAAACTAAATCAAATTATAGGAAGAACTAAACCGACAAAATAATATGTTGAATATAACCAATTGACCTTCAATTTAGTTTTCGTTTGGAATAGCTTTATTACTGCTTTTGCTTTTAAGATTGCAATCATAGTTTTTATTTGACTACTATTTTAAATAAATTTTTATACACCGAAATTGCTTTCCAGAGCAGTTTTACAACAAAATGTTTATAAAAAATTATAGTCGTTCCAAATGGACCCTTAATTTGATTATTTTGATTCAATTTTGGCATACCTAAAATTTAAAAATATGTTTAATTTCTGCAAAAACCGAATAAAATCAACCAAATAGAAACGATTATGTTTGATTTTTTGATTTAAATATTATTAACATAAAAATATTTCCCCTTCTTATTTTTCATCAACTACTTAGAAAAATGATCTAAGCTTTTACAACAATAATAAAGCAAATTCAACAATTTAGCACTAATTTTAATGTAAATTCAAGAGCATTTAAGCCAATTTTAATGTTACAATATCTTTACAGAATTTTTTTTTACTCAACTAACAAAGAGAAGACATGGAATGCTTCACCTCCAACCATTCAAGCATTCCATTTAGATTCCATTCGGAACATCTTTTTTATTGTTATGTAAAACAGCTGTAGATAAAATAATTTTCTAAAGCTGTTATAAAAAATTGCTTTTCAGCAAAAAAATCTTTTTGAAAGCAACGAAAAAGCAGTTATATATCAAATATAAATTTTGATTGTAGTCTAAAAAGCAATGTAGTAAGAAAGCTATCCCAAACGAAACCTTAGTTAATTTGATGGGAAAATACACAAATAAGGCAAACACACAGTCACATCATCGAAAGCTACGAACCTAAGTTACTTAGGCATTGTTTGGGACGTCTTTTATATTTCACTCAAATTAAAATTTTTGTTCTAAAACTCTATTTTAAGAAACAATAAAGATGCCATTCCACGGCTTTCTTTCTGCCTCTTAAAGTAGCTTACTAATACAAATTAATTGTATTAAAAAGCTGCTTTAAAAAGCAGAAAGAAAGCCGTCCCAAACGAAGCCTTAGTTAATAGCCAAAACTACTAATCAATAGATCAAAATGAGCTGTGGCGGTAACCTTTCTCAATTGTCTTTATCAAATGAAATGAATGTGTTTGACATGGTTGGATAGGAGCTTCAATAATTTTCAAATGTAGAGGCATATTTTATTTGGTAGCTAGGCTGTCACTCACACACCCCAGCTCTACTCTAAATAAGAATCACACACAATTTTTTATTTTTTGAATAAATAATCAAACTAAATGAAGGACAATATAGTGATGTAATTTCCTTTATTTAGAAATATAAATTTTCTTACTAAAAAAATCTTAAGAAAATTTAAAACTTTCTAAGCTCTTTTAAAATGGAAAATTATAATAATTATTATTTTTGGAGTGTTAATGATTTCTTTTAAATTTTATTTTTTGAAAAAAAAATTCATGTTTTCTCCCTCAATGAATGGATTTGGATTCTCTTCAATATATTTGGATTATTAATATTAAATTCTTATCAAAATTACAATTTCTTTAAAAAATAAGTATATTCAATTTTGTAAATTTTATTTATTGAGATTAATTTATTAAGATTGATTTAATAGATTAATGTTGAGATTAGTGCAATATAAAATTTTTCTTTATATACTACTAATCTTAAAGCAGTTTTACTTATTTGTAAACTCAATTTGAGGATATTGTGACATAATTTTTTAATTATAGAAAAATAATTAATAAATAAATATTTCAAATATCAATATTTTTATGGGGAAATCCCACCTGCTCAAGCTGTTTCATCCATTTGGAGCATTTATTAGCTTTTTATTTCCCTAAAACCTGATTAATAAAATATTATTCCATGTGCTAAGCCTTACTTAATGCTCCATATATTATTACTTGCTATCAATATCTACAACCTTAAATGCAAATTTATCTCTCATATAACTCAGAATTATTCACATTTTACTCTTAATTTTGTGAAAATGATAGTTGTTTTCTGTAAAAAACGCAAAATGTGACTAATTATGTTCTTAATCAACATGCTAATTATATCATATTTGGAAGCTTTTGCGAGGCTGAATTAGGGGTATAAGTGAGTCAAGCCGACTCGTGATTGTGCTCGAGCTCGGCCAGATATATGGTTCGTGAGTTGAGGCTGATGAGCTAACAAGTTAGGCTTGAGTCAATCATGACTCGACTCATGAGCTTGCAAGTCGGTTCATTTAAAAAATATTAATATAAAATACATTTAAAATATATTAACATTTAGGATTTTTAGTACAAAATTATTGAAAATATTTTAAAATGTATCTCACTTTCTTATGATAATTAAGTACTTCTTTATTAATTTTTCTTTTAATTTCTCATTCTCATATCATTTTATTATAATAATTGATTGATAATAATAATTTTCTTTTTTTCATAATAAACCCGGCTTGAACTCGGAGAATAAAATTTGAGCTCAAGCTCAAACTCGATATATTAATCAAATCTCAAGCGAGGGGTGACTTAGCTCACCTTGACTTGTTTACACCTAGACAAGCCGACTAATGAGTCAGACTCAATGAGCTAACCAGCCAAACTTGAGTCAACTTTGACTTGATTCATTAACTTGTGAACCTCGTCATTTAAAAATATTACTATAAAATATACTTAAAATATATTAACAATTTAAAGTTTAAGGGCAAAGTTTAAAATAATTAAGAATTAGATCTCACTTTCTCATATCAAATGAGTCATGATGGGCTTAGGCCCCAAAATTCCAAAAAAAAAAGAGTAATTATTTTTCTTCTAATTTATCAATTTTTTTAATCATTTTATTATAATAATTGTTTGAATGATAATTATTTTCTCTCTTTCTTAATAAACTAGTTGGCTAATTATAGACTTCATTTGGAACGACTTTCTTATTGCATTTAAAGCAGCTTTCTAGCATAAAAAATTTAATTTTTATACTAAAAACTACATTAAGAAGAAACAAAAAAACCATCCCAAATGAACCTTTATGCTACTTTTAGCCTTTTAGGACAACCCTTTTCCAGTTCTATTTTGCTGCTGTCAAGAAATTTTTGTGCTAGAAAATTACTGTAGAAAGAAGCCACAAATGAAGCATTAAACTCCTAGGATTAAGCTCAAGCTGGAGCTTAAATTATCAATGCTGAATTAAACCTTAATTAACTGGTTATTTATTTAGGGCCTTGCTATTTGAATTCTAGCTGATCAAATATTAAAATAGAGCATTGGAAACAGAAACTGTAAAAATAATCTAGCTTGCCAGCCTTTCAAAAAAAAAAATCTTTTTTTTTTTTTTCCCTTTCTTTTCAAAACAAAGTAGCCCATGTGCCTTTTTTGAAGAGGAAACTTCTGCTAAAAGTAACACAGATTTGTATTTTACTATTTTTACGTAAGTGATTCAAAATTTATCTTTAGATTATATTGCTATTCTTATATAAATATATGCAAATTGAAACCTCAAAGTGGATCCCAATTAAAGATTATGCCCAATGTCTTACAGCTGAGCCATTCCTCAAATAGGCTTGGCCGCTTGCGTACTGGTTCACGACACAGGCCGCCCGACCGGTATGATAACAAAACCCTTTCTGTGTATCGTATCTGTGTACCGGGTAACGTGGTGAGCTTTGATTCTCCCCCGAACATAGAGCTACGTTCGGTGTCCGCACAGAATAATTTCTCCTATTTAGAGCTGCTATAACTTTGAAAAATATGATTGTGAAGTTATTGTGTAATGTAAAATAACTATTTTTTATAGCTCCTATGCATTGAAGTTTAGTTTGGAACATATTTTTTAGTGCTTTTAAAAATAGTTTTCAAGTTTAAAATTTCTAGTTCAAAAAGTTTTTATATTAAAAATCTAATTCGGATAGCTATAAGAAAGCGGTCCCAGACGGATAGCTTTTTTATTGCTTTCTAAAATGGAGTTTAATAACAATTTTTTTTTTTATTTTTTACTAAAACTCCGTTTTAAAAAGTAAAAAAAAAACCGTCCGGAACGAAGCCTAAGTTTTATTTGGCTATTACTTTTTTATTGCTTTTAAATGTGCTAAAAGGATGTTTTTAGAGCATTTTAAATAGGCCTTTAACTATTATGAAAGGATACATTCAAATTGTTTGATATAATAATAATAATAATAATAATAATAATAATAATAATAATAATAATAATAATAATAATAATAATAATAATAATAATAATAATAATAATAATAATAATAATAATAATAATAATAATTTTTTTTACTGAAAGAA